GTAGAAGTACGAGTTTTTTCCTAGCCCTAGGCAACTGAACACACTCAAATGTCTCGGCACGATGCAATTTCTTTCGTTTCGTTTGTATTGAATATGAATTATACTTGAGCTACAATTTTACTAGGGCGAGGATAACTCGATACAAGTGATTTCGAGGTTTTTCGTCTCCTGATTATCTCCAGGCGCATATTGATATGCCTAACCGTTTCTGCGATTCGTATAGATTAGTCATCCGAAACAGTTTTATCAATATAAATATTCTGATGCACACTGAAGGAAACGGAAGCAGCCGTTGGTCATTTGTCAATTATTAATATATCCGTTTACAGCGAACAGGCATTAAAAATACGTTTGGTGGCGCACGTTGATTTTTACGGCTTAGAACATTTGAAAATCTTCCGGTTTCTACCGCTAGTGAATTCAAAATAAGAGAAAAAGTAAACCATCAAGTCCAGTACATTTTTTTTTTCATAACCCAATAGAACTTTCTCACCCAGAGATACTCATTATAAGTCTATCTCATAAATCACTTAAAAGCATTTTGCTAGTGCTAATGATGGTCAGAATATGAATTGTTTTTTTTAATCTGTTGAAATAATTTTTTTCTCAAAGAAAAAGACTCATAAAACAGACATCTTGACTGCATGATTTTTCCTACACGATGGTGGAAAGCTAAGTTCTCCACAGCTTGTGTGATTTTGAAATGACAAGTAAGGCGAATTGACTTTATCGTGATGGATGAGTAATTATTAGACTAACTATATGTACCATGAAGAGAATTTTCTCGACAGTTCTTGGCGTTCTCAGATTCGTTTACAAAGGTCCATGTGCCTTCTTCTTTATATTGACAACAGTGAGGTTGAAAAAAACAGATGTAATAAGAATCGAAAATCTTTGTTAGAAAATCAAAAACAGACATTTTTTTTTCACTGTTTAGGGCTAAATCAATTCGAGATAAATATTTTGCCGTCGCATTCTTTGAGCGGGTTGCATGTTTCTATAAGGTGTAGATAATTCCTATCACTTCACTTCTAAAGTGGACACAATATTAAAAAAATTGTATCGAAAAAATGGCAAAGATTGCATAGCTATAAATTGTTTCTCCAATATTCGCCAGCATTTTTGTTGAAAAACTTACTTGTCGTATTGGTTATAGTTTCCCGAGTGAAAGATGGACACCGTTGAGAAGAAGCACGGTCTATCGGATAACAAACAGGAATGTTGCATCGTGTATTATTGACACATACAGTATTGGGTACTGAACATGTCTGATTATCATTTTCACATGGAACTAAATCTTTACATGACATAACTGTATCAGCACACATTCCTCCTCCGGTCGTTGTCATCAGCAAACATTCGCAATCGAAGTTTGTTGAACATGGTGCTTGTTTTGCTTGACAGTAAGATGATGGACAGCATCCACAACTAGGAGGTGGTGTATCAATAGTATCTTGACCTGTAACAAAATTCATTAAAAAACCACAGATTAAATTAGCAAACATTTTTTTTTTAGTTCAAGATTTACAGAAATCAAGAGAAAAGTAAATATCAGCTTTATGAGTTCATACTGTACTTCTGTGTAAATTACTGGAAAAAAAATCAATTTTTCATACCTGTTACAATGCAGACAACATACCTAAAAATAAAATTGTATTTCATCATTGATCTATCATGGAAGGATTACTTACAGTGCTGCCACTACCTGAATCAGAAATCGTTGCATTATTACGATTGAAGAAATGTGTTTTGATGAAAGCAGTTGCTGTTTTTATAGACAAAAGAGTTCACTCGAGCATATTTACTTGTCTGAGTCAAAAAGAGGCGTTAGAAGGAGTGTTGACCATGTTTATTTGCATCAATGCGTGGATTCCAGCAATATTATGTTTGAAAGCTATGTATTATATGACGTCAATATCTTAAAAGCCAAGTTTCTCTTTCTCCTTAATGGCTGACTGGATGCATTAGAAAAATGAAAACAGTAGCTGTTGACATGTATGTTTACAAACTTTCGAAATTTTACTATGCTGCATACAATCTGAGAGGAAGTATTGATGTGAGCACAGTACTTATTGATTTTCTTTTTCACAAGACTTATCACGAGAAGTGTATTTACATTATACAATGCTCAGCCAACTGAAAGACTGTTTTTGTTAGGATCAAGTATTATAGAATAGAAGCAGTCAATAGAGAAAAATGAAGAGTGTAAATAGAAGACAAAGTCTTTTCAAGAACTGACTGGATGGTAAATAAGGTAAACTCGAACGAATTACAATTTATTTTTCTGAAGAGCAGAATTCTATTAAAATCGTTCTTTGTAATCACATAATTTTTTTTTATTTTTGATGATTAGAATCTGGTATTACTCGTCGTTCGATTTCTCAAACTTTATTGTGAATTTTGCGATATTTGTGTAACCTATGACATATCTGCGAAGGTATTGTCTTCTTGAATCGCTTTGAGAACCTTACAGATCGACAATACACTAAACTATTTTTATATTGATATAATGATAAATGAAAGATTGTGACCATCTTTCTGTAATTTTGGTGTGCGTGTAAGTGTGTGTGCATGTGAATTAAAGTGAGCAGTAGACCCATACCGATACTGATGCACTGTTTGACGATATAACACTTAATTTGACAAACGAATGATATCTCTAAAGTTCTGCTGAATTGTGGGCTTTATGTTAAATAAGAATGAGTCAAATTTAGCTAAGAAAAGAATAGAAAACAAAGGTTCTATAAATCGGAAGTCTATCAGAAAATCGACGACTTCGAATATTTATGCATGAACAGTTTCAATAAACTGTCCACTGAAATCTCATACAGACGTTCATCGATACTATAACTACACTGACACCAGTTTTTACGGGACACTACTAGTATGTTGGCACTAACGTTCATTAACAGACCTTATTGATGTTCCCTGCGGCACTGATATTTTCCAAGGAATTTGATTGACAAACTGATACAAATGCCCCAATGGCACAATTTCTACATTGAATTCACTGATGTGCTTGCTCAAGTCATTTTAAAACAGGATCAATCAATACACACTGTTCGTACAATCATTGCGAGATTAAAATGTAAAATATGATACAGCTGCCCTTGCTAACAATTGAAGGTTCCTATCTATTTTGGAACGCACCTATCTTTACCATTCTTTTATTTAGTCCTGCAATAATATAATGAAGAAGTGATTTATATATCGATGAATCAAAATGATGGCAACATAGAATATTTTGTAAATATCTTGGAAATTTATAAATTCTATAACACAGAAATTCTCTTAAATAGATGTGCCATGAAAAGTTCTACAAAAAATCCGTATAAAGAAATTGTCATGGGTTTCATCTAGTAATTTTCAGATGCTGAAAACAAACAATCCATATGTCAGTGCTATGTTATATCGTACTGAGAATAATAAAAGTGTTTGGATAACTTTTTCTGTTTTGTTATAGGAAGTTGATGATATAGCTTCTGTAGGCTTTCCTCGAATACGTATTTTTAAAAAAATTGAAGATTTTATCACTTTCTCGAGCTGAAACATATGCAAAATACGATTGAAAGTAGCGCTATCATACAGGTTGTTCATCTACAGTATGAAAGCAATCAGCAGAACGAGCCAGTAAGAATCTCATAATACGGTTTTTTTTAGAACTTTTCATCCCAAATCTTTAAAAAAATTTAAGATTTCATCATTTTCTTAAGCCGAGATATATTTGAAATACGGTGGGTTGTCACTTTTAATGATCTGAGAAAGTAATAAGACAAAGTCATAATGAATTTTCTATATATAATTTTTTGTAGAGCTTGAAGGTGTAGATATGGACCCATGAAAAACATCAACACCTATATCCACACCCTGTGATAAGATACCTATTTGTGTCATTAATATCTCTCCTTGCTGGAATGAGGAAGATTTCTTGATAGCAAAGAAATAAATATGAACGAAAGAAGTAAATATCTTGAACGTTTCTATGATCTTATAAGTATTATATTTAAAAAAAAAGGAAAAACTATAACAATAACCATGCTACATAGCAAGTAGACCAAATCAAACTTAGCCTGTAAGAAACATAATACATAAACAAGCTAATCAAGTAGATGATAATAAAGACTGACATTAGCTAGCAAATACACAAAAAAGACAAAAATAAACCGAACATCTATGCAGTATATCCTCTTATTTATTAGTAATTATTGCCAAATGATTTGTTCTTCCGGTGAAAAGTAAAGGCGATGTATAAATAATCATTTTCACATTAAATATGCCGATATGAGTGGCATGTATAGGACTAAATATTCTGTATTTTAGCGGATTACGAAGGATAAGTTTGTTTGAATGCGGTAAATTATTAAAGAAAAACGAAAAATAACGAAGTCTTGTTGTATGCAATAAATATCCGTTTAAGAAAATACGCTTATGAATAAAACATTAAAGAGGCTTTTGTTTTGTGAAAATTTGGTAAAGTTTATTATGTGACACATAGATATAGAAGGAATGAAACAAAATTTAATACTCAAGTATTGATAAATTCATAATGATGATCGTCGTTTTCGCGGATTGTATTAAACTGGTTATGTAGCAATGACAGGAAAATGGAATTTGTTTTGATAATGATGAAAGTTAGTACTTTTCGAGAATGATCGGAAGAGTTTTGGGGAAGTTGTTATTTTCATCGAATTATTGACAATTTTTGAACTAAGCTTTTCTTTCGCAACTCACAACAAAAGAATATGGAACGTCTAACACGAATTGTATTTGAACCATATGATATCTTCTTGTCTTTCATCGTCAATAAAAACAATATATATATATATCTATGAAAACAGCTATGTATTATTTGAGAACCTTTTAGCAACCAATTTGGATATAATGAAAATTTTTATTTCATACCAAAAGTTTGAAGATTATTGAAAGAAATTTTATTTATTTTTGTTGAAGGAAAGACAATTATCATGAGTGTTTTATATTATATGAAAATGCCTTTTCTTGTTTAAACTAACGATGAGATAGATAATTTTAAAAAGTTTACTTTCTCGATTTCCTTTTTCTATTGTTATTTTGATTCTGTAAGTCTTTTGAAGACTATTTCAAGTAATTGTGCATGCTTATTAGCAGATCTAACTGAAAATTGATCAAATATAGCTGTTGTTTCTATTAAAATTTGTAGCATCATTGGATAATTATTAAAGGTTGTCGATAAAGTAGAACTGGAAGTTTCATTACTTCTCGTTTGACGACTATTTTATTGAAATTTTGTTCTAATCATAAATCAGAGCATGATCACTAAACTTTTCGTCGGCTCAAGTCACTAAAGTGTAATATTTTATTGTTTTGAATCTGTAAGTTTTATAAGCATTAGAAGCACTAAAAAGGAGAAAATTGAATGAAGTCATTTTTATGTCCGAAAAAATGTTTCCTTTATATGAATCAAACCATCAAATTATTATTAAATGCTTGGTTTGTCGGAAAAATCATGATTACCATCGAAAAAACGTCTTCTTCTGATTCACTATTGATAAAAATTTTGGAAACTAAATTCGAGATTCATTACTTGAAATTGTTCTTAGATTAACCTCTTTGTTTTCTTAAAGAACATCATCGTTTGAATCTGCTATTATTAGTTTCATGTATAATCTCAGTTAACAAAAAAAGACATGTCGTACAATATAGATTGCAATTTTACTATTTGTATAGCAGCTTGTTTCTGTACGGCTTTCTGTCAATATATTCGCACATTTATTAGAGAATCTTCTTGCGCATGTGTCCATTGTATATTCTTTCTTACATTAATCAACATGTAGTTCAAATAAATTTTTGGCTACAAATGGAACTTTGCATTCAAGACCAGTATTACAACATTTACAAATGCAATATGCTGTACTTCTGTTAGGTCGAGTGCCTGACAAGCTACTAATAAACAACAAAAATAAGAAGATCATAAGTGTAAATATGTTAGAATTCATGAACTCTAACAAAGAGAAAGCTTAAAGATTCATAGTGGCTCTCTGCTTGATTTCTGCAAACATGTCGAAAACAGTAGGTCAAAGACAAAAATATTTTTGTGAGGAATAGCATTCGAACAGAGATAATAAGATAAGTTAGCTGTGTTTTTTCTCATGATATAAACAGAAATATACTACTGCACCGAGGTCTGTTCGATTATGATAAGTGAACATATATTACCCACAAACAATTCATCAAAATGGCTTTCATTCATGCAAGACACGTGTAGTAAGCTAGTTTCTAGAGAAGAAATATTTCGAATATTATTTCAACAGATTTGTAATAAAAGCGCTATTTAATGTCAAGAATCCGTAAAAAGCATCAACTTTTTTCTCTCATATACGCATTAGTTGGTCAATCAATCACACTATTATTGAAACTTACCTAAAATTTCATCCTAGCAGGAGAATAACATATGTAAAGACCTTGATACGTGTAGATTAACTTCATGTTAGACCGTTGGTGGTATACTGGTCAATGTGTGAAAGGA